TAATTGGAAAAATTAATACAATTTACTATAAATATCATATATCAATCATGTCTTTCATGGAGAATGTGAGACTACAGAAAGTCTTAAAAAGTTAGAGCAAATACGTCAGAAGTCAATGATTAACAGTAACAGGCCGAAATCTGTGTTAGTACTGAAATATCTGACTTTTACCTTTAAAATTAACACAGAATAGTAGGATGACTGTTTAAGACTAATTTTATGAAGTAACAGGAGCTTTACAGAATAGGTACATGTACGATATATGACAATAAGAATGCGAAGAGTAGACTGTAGTAATTAAAAACATGTCAGAAAGTTCTTAAATTGTTCATAAAGTAATGGATTAGGATAATTTAAAGATGCATATTGTCATCCTTAAAGAAAGCACCAAAATAATAGAAAAAAATGACCCCTCAAAAGTATTACATTAAAGTAAATGAACTAAGCACCCTGATCAAATGCAGACGTATTCAGATTGGATAAAAAAGCAAGATCTGACTATATGTTGTTTCCAAGAAACATACTTAAAACATGTTTTAAACAAGTTGGGTGTAAAGGGATAAAAACAATAAGCAAAAGAAAGTTGGTGTGGCTCTATGACTATCAGAACAAAGTAGACTTCAAGGTGAAGTGTTACCAGAGATTAAAAGAGTGCATTTTATTATGATAAAAGGGTCACTTCCTTATAAAGTCAAAGACTACGAATGTTTCTACACTCAAAATCAAATCTCTCAAATACAAGACAAAAGAAAATAATATAACAAAAAAAAACTAGAAACAATTTTACTGTCACTGATAGAGATTTTAACACTTCTTCTTCAGCAATAGATAAAAAAATGTAAAAATTAGTATAATTATGGATGATTTGAACAATACTGACCATCAACTTAAGCCAATTAACATTTATAGAAAATTACTCCCCACAAGAGGTTACAACTTCTAAGATGTACATGGATTACTAAAGAAGATAGACCACATTCTTGGTCATAAAACAAGTTTTAATAAATTTCAAAGAAATTAAACAGAATATGTTCTTTAACCATGATAGAGTTAAATTAAAGACGAATTAAAATAATATACTTTTAAAGACCCTCAAATATTTGGAAGTTAAAAAACACTAAATAATCAATGGATCGAGAAGAAATCCCAAGAGATATCACTATATATATTTTGAACACAACATCCATATGTATAGGATGCAGCTAAAGCAGCCTTTAAAAAGAATTTATGGATTTAAATACCTTTGTTAGAAAATAAGAAAGGTATAAAATCAAACACTTCTTTGATTTTAAGAAACTAGAAAAATAATAAATTAAACCTTAAGTATGTAGCATGAAGGAAATAATAGAAACAAGAGCAGAAATCAATATAATAGAACATTTAAATATCTTTGTATGAAGAAATTAAAGAATAATACCAACATACACAAACCCTTTCATAAAAAAAAGGAAGTGAGAACACTTCCTAACTCATATGATGAGCCCATTTAGGTAATATAGTATAGCACATATACATATATAATATGTATTATAACTATTATATGTGCTATATATGTAATTATTATAATAACTACTACTATTATAACATTTAAAATAATATATTATTGTTAGTGTTGGGGCAATTGAATTTCAGTGTCACCCCAACGTCATGGGGGGGCTGATAAGTGTAATTAGCATCTTTCCTCAGTTTTTCCTCATTGATACAGTGTAGAATCACAGGTCATTGAGATTTAGAAAAGATTTAGTAAACATATGTTTTAGAAAGACAAAGCACCCTCCAAGGAGGCACACGGTTTTAGCAAAGAGCTGTAACAGCAACAACAACCCGGAAGTGGGAATCTCTGAATTATATTTGGGCCGTGATGGATGGTTTCAAAGGCATTCTTAGGTGATGGGCAAGTAAGGTCATTTTGATTGACACTTGGCTGCTGTATAACACTTTGCCTATTGTACATGTGCTTACCTAGAATTTAGTCTATTATAATTAGATTCATGAACTTCTAGGCATAAACATATTATTATAATGACAGTTTTATGAGCATTAGATTGTAGGCAAATTAGGGTAGTACTTTCTGCACAGGCATCTGTGGCTGGATTAAACCACCTAAGACTATGACGCTCCCGTCCTTTGTCTCTGGGGATGCAGGAGAGATTTTCTAACCACCAATAGGGTGTTCTTTGGATGGTTTCTAGGCCGGGTCTCTATTCCTTTGTTCTCCTGTCCCTCATGTCTGATTAGCTACCTAACATTATCATATGTATTATAATATATATTGTGTATGTACTATTGCGTATAATTATGAGTTAGCATAATTCACCCCCTGGATTACTTCCAGTAGATCCTTAACTAAGGATCTCTACTGTAAAGCACATGAAACTGCCCCTGACTATAGCTGTTCACTAAGGACCTTCCCGTTGTGTTAGTACATTTCCTGAGTGATGGGAAGTTTTAGTCTGGAAGCTGCTAATCTTGCTAACACTAAAAGTCCTTCTCCCATTAGCAGCTTCTGTATTGCATTAATAATAAGAAAGTAATAAAGAGACCAACCTCAGCTGTTCAGTCTCCCCTGAGGTGAGGCCCCGGCTTCCTTCTTATCCCCATGGTCCACTCTAATGGTTTTGCCTGTATTAAAGTAATATAGTGGATAATAAGTGGTGTCTATTTTAGCAGAGTCTAAAATTCCTTCTTCTTTCTGAAGAGAAATATTTTTTTCTAAGGCTTCCATATTTAAAACTATATCATGAACACTTTTGCAATTGAAGTTAATCTATGTAATTCATAACTTTTTTAACATAAGTGCAAATCATCAAGTACAGGAAGAAAAAGATGCTTTAGAAAAAAATAAATCTCTCTACCTTTCCTGGAAAAACTATAAAACAGTACTCTCAGAGATGTCTTCTTGTCCTTTTTTTAAAAATTAAATCACTCATCTGCACAGCAGCAAATTTAAGAAAATCAAGGAATAAAGACCTTTGCTTTTGTAAATATTAAAAACCCTTTTGTTAATAGACAAAGAAGAAATTATGAGAAAATATCTTATTAAAACAAAATAAATAAGGTTGGATTTGTTAGATTTAGGGTGCATGTTAATAAGTTGTGCCTTTGTTAAAATTTTATCTTATTAGAGTTCATAAAGACAGGAGCTAATGCCATACTTAATTGTTTACGTTCTTTTTCTATCGAAAATACATGGCCTTTTGCAGAAGTGCACTTTTTTAAAGATCCTCTTGATTTAAACATCTGATTTTAAGTGTATAATCTGTCCATGAAATTAGATTATCTATGTAGTACTCAGGTTGTTGCAATTTTTCGTCTATAAGCAAAGCTATTTTTGCTTTCAGCTGTATATTTTTTAATTGAGTAAACAATAATTCATCTTCTCAAAAGTGTTGCTCAGATATTCATTATTTGCACTCAGAATTCTTCTTGATTTACACTATTGTGTCATAATTTTGAGAGGTTAATTTTGTAATTAGGTTATGTATTGCATATTTTTATACCTGTAATTTATGAGGAGAAAAAAAAGTCTAATCATTATCAATGACAATATACATTTTTAAAAAGAAATATATGTTTATAACCCTCACAGAAAAAATCACTGTAATGGGCTCTGTTCAACATTTATGAAAGATTTAAGAAACTACTGCACAAAATTTACAATCAATATTTTTTTCTTATAACTACTTAACATCTTGAGGAAAAAATAAAGATGACACCTAGTAATTCAAGGATAACCATCTAAGTTTCTTAAATTATATATAAAAGCCTTTGAATGAAAATAAAACCTATAATTTAGAAATGAGAAAATATTAAGTTTTTTTTAATAAAATAGACATTATATTTTTCCTCTAGGCAAATGACAATCTAAATCCCTTTTCATTAAATAACTCTTACATATGGTTTATTTGTTAAGCCAAAAATTTTTGATAAATCCAGTAAACCCTCTTGTTTGTTTTATTTTGCTATAAAATGCAGAAGTGTTCACAACATACCAATGGGTGGTATATTATTGTTAGTGTTGCCTTTAAATTTAGGGAAGAGAGGAGTTGAATATGGCATTCTTATGAAGCCTCAATAGCAAACAGGTCCATTGGAAAAGTAGCAATTTTAATATAGACTAGTCTTAGAGTTGTTGGGATTATGCACACTAATCTGAAATCTTTTGTTTCCTTTTTTCTGTTCTATAGTCCATGAAGGCTCAGGAGAAACAAGTCAAAAGGAGACATCCACCTGCGATATTTGCCAGTTTGGTGCAGAATGTGATGAAGATGCCGAGGATGTCTGGTAACGTGCTTTTATTTATTCTTTTAAACAAAATAATGACAATAATTGTTTTCTTTTGACTCCATCAACCATACCTAAAAAAGACATTTTCAGCATTTATTTATTTTTTTATCTAGTTCCTAAGGGGTAGGGGTGGGGCAGTAATAACAGCAAGGAATTACTGAAGCTGAATTAAGAGTTGGGCCAGCCGAGCAGCTGCCCAGGGCTTTATTTGTTAAGGTATAAAAAGTTATGACTGAGACCTCCAAATACGATCAATGGTAAAAGTTGGAGAGAGTAATCTCATTTACCAGAACACCTCTCAAGAAGCATGGTCCAAAAACTGGACAACTGCTAATCAGCTTCCTAAGATGGAGAATCTGGATAACAGCAGAGATTTTATTTAAGGGCATGCCTTTGTGCGCCTGTAGCTGAATTGAGAAGATGACAGGACAAATGATCTCTGGGTCGTCCTCTAGGATCAATGTCTCTCTTCACCCAAGCAATATTCAGCTTCTTCTATAAAGATGTGCTGAACAAATACTGAATAATAGTCATTATTTTGAGTGGGTCCCAAAATGTTAGCCTCCTAGGGCACTGACGTGTATTGATTCTACCCTGATCACACTCAAAGTGAGTGACCCGGAATTCAGAGGATGTCTTTGTGGCATGAGAGCTGAAAGAGGCAGTCTCAATCTCTGTCTATCCCCTCCTACTCCCTTAGACCCTTCCTCTCTTACTCACTTTTACATACATACCTTTCTGGAAAACAGCCAAGTGTCCTTTGTTTTCTTCACTATGCAGATTGTGTTTGCTTAGAGCTGTTAACACTCATTTTGATCAAAATGACTGAGAGTAAATATTACATGTTCTCAAGGAATAGTAATTATGTGTCATGTGATGTTAGCTAACATGATGGTGGTAATCATATTGCAATAGTAAGTGTATTACATTAAGTCAGCACGGTGTACATCTTAAACTTATACAATGTTATATATCAATTATATTTCAATACGGTAGTGGGGGAAAGCAACCATTTTGATCAACCTTGAGTGGAGGGTGCAATTCATCTAAGGAACAAGAAAAAAATTAAGGCAAGGTAATTTTGGCAAGAATGAAACCATCTATACTTAAAATATTTTATACTTAAAATATGTTTTTGGAATGCAGATTAGGTTGAGGATTCCAGTTGAGCAAACTGAAGTTCTTAGGGTAAATTACGTACTCACAAGTAAACACTGCTATTGACTAGCCAGGCAAAATAGCTGCCCATTAATAAAAGTAGACATTAATAATTTCCACACCTGTCAAATTTTGGGCAGTTAGAAACCAAGTACAGGAGTCTGGCACTGGTTTGACCATTTTAAGGTAAATGTAGGTTTGTGTTTTTAGGTTTGACCATTTTGAGGTAAATGTAAGTTTGTGTTTTTAAGAACATCCTGGGCATCTTAATTGCTGGTGAATTTTTGGTTCCTAAACTTGGCCGATTATCAGAATTACTTCGGGAATTTTTTAAACACTCCAAAATTAATGAATCAGAATTTCAGAAAAGTGGAGCTTTAAATTTTACTTATCTATAACTTTGGTTTGAGTCAAAGAGTCTTTCTCCTCCCTAAATATTTAGGGCTCTGTATAGTCATAGTCTTTGTATATTGTTATACTTATAGAAAATAAATAATTAAAATATCTCATTTTTAATGATCGCGGTGACTGCATCTGTAGTTCAACATTATTTTAAAGCTATTAATTATCTCACTGTTAATTATTTTACACTTAAAAAATTTACACGAGTCCTTAATTATTTTTTAAGAATTTTTATTCTGCTAATTTCTCATCTCTTTAATGATCATCTTTAACTGACATAGTTCCACTTTACAAGTGCGAAGTTTTAAGAAATGAGATAACTATAGCAGCTAAAAATTATTGATTGCTAACTATGAGCTTGGTCCATTTGTATGCATTTTTTTCTCAGTTATCTTCAAAATAAGACTAGGCGTAGATTTCATTATGATCTCACTTTATAAAGAGGACACTGAGTTTTAAAGTGTTTAAGTGGCAGAGTCAACATGAATATATGAGGTAAAAGTAACTACTGGGTGTTAGCATAACAATTCAACCAAAGATGCAATTAAAATATTTTTTTCTGTCACATCTGGAATGGCCAGATTGCAGGCAGCTTAGATCCAGTGATTCAAGACCTAACAAGGTTGAAGCTGGTGACAAGGGAGGTGCCTGCAGCAGGCAGTGGGAAAACATCCAGGCAAGCAGTGTCCTTTCTGGTATTCTAGTGAAAGTTTTATCTATGGTATGAAGGCAGGCAGTACAAGGAGATATGGGCAAGAGAGTGGCATCAGAAAGATTGAACAGCTATGGTAACTGGAGTTAGAAAAAGAAACTCAGTTACAAAGAGAACAAGGAGAAGAGCAAGGCAGAACCTCAGTCAACTAGGAATGGGGTATCAGGAAAAGTAATCAGGGACAGATATGAGAGAAACTAGAAAGATACCCAGTTGTATAGAACTGGTGTAGAAAGCCAAGCCTTGCTTACAATGGGGCTGAGGCAAGCGCCTAGACCTCAGAATAAATTACAAGGTCAGAATGAAACCAGCAGCAAGGCTGACTGGATGCTGAATCAGTTAGCTTTTGGCTAAAGATATCTTGTACGCCCCCAGCCTAGAGATAAGATTAGCTCCAAAATGCGGAATAAGGCTGAACCTCCAGATGGGGCTAAGTGGCCATAGCTGTGAAGATTAGAGGGCTGTAGGGGGCAGGGAGCCAAGAAGATCATTATGCTCCCCAGGCAAGAATGAAAAGTTGTTAGGGTTTAAATACAATGTACTTAAAATGTCCAATGTAAGCAATAAGGAATTGTGCTGGAATGATAAGTGTATTGATTTTCATTTACATAAATACCTTTGTATGTTAATCTATTATATTTAGTTATAGCCATGAAGGGCAGATTGGAAAGAGCTGAAGGACAGAAGAATAAAGCAATAAATGAAATTAAATAGGCATGGAATGAAAGAGGCTATAAAGTAAGATAGGAAGCAGTAGGGGAGTAATCTGACCCTCATACAGTCAGCTGATTCAGAGGTGCTTTGATGTGCTATTGATTTTGGGTGAAACCATGGCCAGGCCCTCTCAAAAATGTAAAATACTGCATATGCTATGTGGCAACAAAAGTACAACTCAGTGTTTTGTATTATTTTCTCCTTTGACACTAACTAAACTACAATTTTATGTATACATATTTCCTCAATGCTGCCTTATGAAGTAATAATAAGATGTGAGTAAATAACTGAGAAATAATGTTATTATCATATCTGCAATATTAAAGCAAAGGTGAAAATTTAACGCCTGATCTTTTTTAACCATAGCCTAAGAAATTAATATTTTACATTTCACCACAAAGACTAAGTCTAGTTATTCAAAGATACTTTCTAGGTAACAGTAAATCGTTGTGAGAATTAAAAAAAACCAGTACACAAACAGCTGATCTTGTTTTCATAGTTACTTATATGAGTTCTTGAATTAAGAAGAAAGTAACACTAGACATGGGGGAAAAATAATAAATAAAATTGAAAGGAGTAAGGAGAGTAAAGGTAAAAGAGAAAACATTAATAATTAGAGGATGGTATTGATAAACCATATATAATGACATAACATTTTAAAGCGTTTATCTTGAGAAAACATGTAGATTGTAAATTCATATACACCTTTCATTTATGTTCCACAATTTCATTTTAAGTCTTTTTTTGTTTTGTTTTGTTTTGTTCTGTTTTGTTTCGTTTTGTTTCTTCTTCTTGTGGAGAACATCAAGGCTGTAGAAATCAGGAAATGGCCAAGTTTTCTTAGTAAGGAAGCAAGACCATGGCTACAAAAAAATCTTTAATTGTAGATATATACCAAAATGTAGGAAAGGATTAATCTTTCAAAAGAGAGAATTAAAAATCACATGGTAATTGGTCCACACCATAGGTACATCCACTCTCAGATTGAGGCATCTCTTTATTTAGGATGGACTTCAGAAATAATTGAAATGCCTATGCAAAGGGATATGTGGCCTGTTTATGGGGCAGAGGTTAAGAATAAATGTAAAGAAGAGCTTAAAAGATTGTTTCTCTTCATATCAAGGCTGAAAAAGTTCAAAACTAATATATTTATACATCAAAGAGACTCTCAAATACATCCTGTCAAATATAATTTATAAAGAAAAAGAATAGCTTATAAATAAGTCAAACATAATAAAACTGACTCATTGCAAAGTAATAAAGCCCCATCTGATAGCACTGGGAATACCAACTTATGATTTCAACAAATATTTCTTATACTTGGTTGGTTTTAAAAACAGCTTTATATTCCCTAATTATCATACCTGATAAATTATTTCAGTAAGTACAAAGTAGGTCAGTGGTAACTCTTTGCACTGAGAACTATTCCGAAGGAGTTATTAGCCTAGAACTTTCTGTTGGTCCTGTCAGTCAGAGTAGTTCAGAGTCCTGAGGTTGATAATTGATTTAATGTAAGAAAAAAGCAGGTTGGTAGGTAGCTGAGTCTGATCATAGGAATGGCTGGACATGAAATTGGCTGCGTGCCTACCATTTCCAGGGTATCAGGATAGATCAGGGAAGAGAGCACAGCTGTAAGAGCAGGTGCAGCTGGGTGACAAATGACATAAGGAGAACTTAAATTATTATGTATATTTGCTTCTTATGGAAGCTTCATAGCTCCTATTTTCATTTTAACTTTGCTCCTTTATTATTCTCTACATGCCACTCAGGCTCCATTAGCAATATCATATTGGCTTAAATGCTATTAATTCCTCAGTAGTCATTCATTTTATCTTTGAAACATTAATAATGTTTTTCAGTTTTAGTGCCTAACATCCATGTTGGACTACAGTGGTAAGAAAGGAAGAAAACAAAGTAGTTTGCAGTAAGATGAGTTCAGAAGAAAAAATGAATGAGCATCTTTTTTTTTTTTCATTTCATTGATGTTCCCAAGCTGAAACAGGGTGTGGGA